ACGAATGTATCTACCAAATGTGCACAATGCTTTGTCAACCCAAACAGGATAAAGGGCTCAATTTGAAGCACCGAGAGTATTTGGTCCAAATAGCACTCGTCAATAGGTTATATGTTTTATGAACAAGTAGTAGAGACATATGTTCAACAAATAATGTCGACTTACTGACCACTGAAAGGGTCGAGCGGCTTAAACTTTCCACTAAAACTATTTCTTTTGATACGCTGAACCGTTCAGTCTTAATTGAACAAAAGTGCAGATGTTTCCAATTCAATTGGACAAATGTGCACATACAAAACCGCCAAGGTAAAAACTGCCAAAAAATTGTCAAAGCGACAGAAGTGACAAAAACCAAGAAAATTGGTAAGAATTTTGTGTACGACACTCAAACAAATCATCAAGCCTCCCACAGAGCTATTGGTCTTTCTAAAAAATTTCAACATGCCTTATCCTCTCCCTCTTAAACCTCTGTTTTGCTACCACTGTTGAACATCGACAGAACCATCATCAATTATAAAAATAAGACTCGTTAATTTTGAAGTATTCAAGCAAATGACTGGTCCCTCGGAAACACCAGAATTATCTGTCCTCTTCAAAGAACAAAACAGATAAACGTTGAAGCGTTGTGTTAGTGAAAAAACTGGAAGCTCCCTCTCCCATTCTGCAGCTAATTAATTACAGCTAAGAAGAAACTGTTTTGGCTTTCGTTGCTTCAAAAAAATGTATCGTAGCCACTTGAACACCAAAAGTTATCTATGACTTACGTACTATGATTTTTAAAAACAACAGTATTTGAATGAAGCAAGTATTAAAATTTTTTGAAAAAAAGGCCCTGTTAAAAAAATATTTTTTGTGCGGAAAATCAATAAAAAATAAATTTTTGTTTCATAATTTAGGCAGTCAGTGTTACTTATGTTGTTTAGATTATTGTATACATTCTGTATGCTCTTTCAGAATTATTACCACAATAAACACAGACGACAACCAATTTACAGCTGAGTAAACTGAAGTATATACTTCAAAAAGGAAAAAAAAAAGCAAATAACGATGAACGATGGCTGTTAGCAATAACATAAATAGAATAACTAAGTCTAATTTCTTCCTTCCAATTATATAACATGCTGTTGGTTTGAAGTTTCATCTTTTACCATCTTTTCTGCTTGCTAAATTTAGTGACTGCTAAAGTTTCAAAAAAATCTTCAGTCATTTATGCGAAAAAAACCAAAAAAATTCAAAAGCTCAAGAAAAAAATGCATTGTGCGATGGTAAGAAGCAGAAAAATTTTAAAAAAACTGTAGGCAGATTTATACTTGTTGCCATCAGTTTTTGTTTCAAAACAGTTTTGTACGTTAAAAATTTCATCTATTCTCATGTGGGAAAAAATTCTTTCCCTAAAGCCATCATCAAACATTTCAGGGCAATTATACTGCTGTCAATCAGCGAATGTCAGCGAACTGTGCGTTAAACAGACTGAGCCCAACCGGTATATGGTTGGGGCACTTTGGCCTGAACATTGAAACTCATACGACGATGACACTCGCCTAAATTGCCAATAAACTGCCTTTTCGTCAACCATCCCATAACTTGAGCCATCAAAGCCAAATTTTACACAACCCATAGAGTACTATGCATAATTTGCCATTCGTGACAACAGTACAGACAAAATGGAAAAAGTGGACACAAATAAAAATTCAAAAGAAAACAACCTTTTTTATTTTTAGCCTTAGAAATCTTTTCAATTCCCTCTACTATCCAATTTTTTGCTCGACTACAAAAATAACTTTTAGTCCATTTGTTAACCTTCGTTTCATTCAATACTACTGCTTTCTGTAAGCTTCGTAAAAGTTACGTGCGTAAAGAAAAAATGAGGACGAATTTTTCTTCCTAACAAACTGTTTCAAAAACAAAAAAATTGAATGCCAAACTAATTGAATATACAGATGTCTTTAATGAGAAAAACCGGCGTCAATTCAATGAGAATATAAAAATCAAAGAAAAAAATTTTTTGCGGCAATGAAACATTTCCGAAAAAAAATCTATTTAACACTCCTTCAAAAACGATTATTTGAATTAGAAAGGGCTTCAAATGCTTTTCTTTACCCTAGAACAATCAAGTCTTTTCGGTTGCCGTTTAGATTCGTACACAGTTTTTCCCTAGCACCTTCCCATTGTCCCCATTCGCCTATACTTCCATCTTTAATGCTATAGCCCCCCTACATCGTCAGTGACATCGTATCACCTCCATCTGAATCAAATAATTAATTTCATTGAGCTGATGATACTTCACCAAGTGAACTCTTCCTTCTCCAGTACCAATACAACAACTACCACCTCGTCTTCCCAATGGTCTTCCGCCAAAAAGCAAAAAAAAATGCTTTCCTTTTAACGTTTCAACAACCAGTAGTCAAAGGGGAAATTGCTTCAACTTAATGATC